CAAGACCAGACCTGGCTTCCCAATGGACATCTGGAGCTCTGAAAAAGTTGCGTTCTTTAACCCTTGCAGTTTTGCCGAAGGATAACTGTGATTCGGACACATATGGTTTACTACGTTTTGATAGTCATGCTACATTTCGCCAATGTGAAGCGATATGCGAAATTTTCCGTTTAGCGGTATGGCGTTTTCCGGAATTTCTCATCGGCCTTTTCACCGACCCGCTTAAGAATTTGCACGGACTTGCTGACACATACCCACCAGAAAAGGGCAAGACTTCCCACAGTGAATATTTTAATTTGGACACCTCAAAGGCTCGTCTCCTGTGCAATTGCATCGGTCTTTCCCCAAAACACTTGACAAGTTCTCTCCTGTTGCATCCGATCGTGCAGTTATGCATTCGACTCATTGGTTTAGATTCTTCGAAGTTGGATCTCAAATTCAGATCCCCAGAACATGAACTTGCTGGCCTATCGTTAAGTCTCAATCTATCTCTCTGCTCATTCATGCAGGATTCGGATGCTTTGAAGTTAGCTACCAGTCTCTTTCATCTCATTGATACGAAACGCTATTTTAAAAACCCCACTGCGGCCTGCTACGTTTTGCGGACGACATATGTTCTCGTGAAGCGATCTGACGACATAGCCTCCCTGGCTAAGGCTACTAATGTTGGAGAGCATGTATCAGAGCTTTTAAATCAAGCAGAGAATGCTTTCGATGCAGATGCTATTGCCAAATCCAACGATGGTCACTTGAATTCCGTCGAAATTGATCGCTGGGTCGCTGCGGAGTTGACAGCTATGCTTAAGTGAACTTTCCCGGAAACCTTTCTTTATTGCTTTTACCAACCGTAACTTGTATTTTTTTTATCGTCATATTTCATTTCTACTTAATAGACAGTTGCTTTTTGTTCTTACTCAGTGATGTTCTCTTATAGTTGGAAGAAGTTTGCCTAATCATCTAGAGCTGCTTAAGTTGACTATTTTAATTATGCCGTCAAATTATGATCGTCAATAAAATATATTTTTTTGCCTGAACTGACGAAGATTGTAGTAAGAAAG